CCCCAGTAGATAGTTGTATGTCATAGCTGCACATTCTTCTAGTTGCTGTATGTGGGACGCGGCCTCAGCGTGGCCGGAGAAGCGGTGTGTCGGTGCGCGCCCGGGATCCGAACCCGGGCCGCCAGCAGCAGAGCGCACGCACTTAACCACTAAGCCACGGGGCCGGCCAGGGGTTAAGCTTTTTTTAAAAAAACTTCGATAACTCCCTGAGTTCCCCTTCAACCCACTTTATAGATGGGGAAACGGAGGCTCAGAGAGAGTAAGTCACTTTAACACCCTCCTCCCCCTGCCCCAAGGAGGCAGCGTGGAGCTGGTCCAGCTCTGTTCTGTGGGTGCTGGGGAGCCGTGGGAGGGTTTGGAGAAGGGAGGAATGAACTGGCTGTTAGGCAGAGTCCCTGTGGGGCTGGCGGGGAAGATGTCCCACAGGAGGCAGGACTGGAGGCCCAGACAACTGGAGGACCCCTAAGTCCTGCTCTGAGCTCCCCCAGCCCACCCCAGAGGATGGTACTCAGTATTTTAAGCTAATTCTTTACATGTTTATCTTAAGATACAACTTCATACCACCACCTCCCAAATGCTGGCTTTGTATGCTTGGTGCTTCTTCGAGGTGCCAAGGTGCAGGGTGGGGGTGGTGGTGAACCTTCCCAAAGAAACATCGGAAGACCATCTCCGGCCACCCCTGATAACGACCCTGCTGTCATGGGGTGTGGGTTGCCCCGGTGATGGGATGGCCCAGAACGGGACGGGAGCCTGGCTTGTGATTCTCAAAATGCAGACGCATCCATGAGGATTTGAATACTCATCTTTGGACGTAAGGAAGGCACATTCCAGATCATCTACATGTCTGGTTTATAAGTGAACCGTGCTGTTGTGCGTCTGCATCTATGGTTATGACTGGGTTTCCAAAGGCTCGCTTACAGACACGACCTTGCTTTCCACGCAGTGTTTCTCAAATTGGGAGTCCAGGAGAAATATTTTCCCCTTAAAAGGGGTCCATGCGTTACTCAATTTGAGTGACTTTGGCAGAACAAATACAAACTCTGGGGAGTGTTTGTTCCTTTGAGCCAGGCTGTGCTGATGTCAGAAGCTTTTAAAAGTTTTCTGAGCTCAAGTGGAAGCGGAAGGCGGCCACAGCTGTTAAGGCGTTTGGGTCCTGTTGTTGTGATCAGTTCTTATAGACCCTCCTTCAACTCCCAACCGGACCACCGGATGCAGAGAGAGGCAGAGGGAGGCGGCTGATGCTTATTACCCGATTTATTAGAGATCTCTTCAACGTAAAAAGAGGGAGGGGCGGCGGGATGGGGGCCGGGGCTGCAGACGAGTGTTATTCGGGGCCAGCAGTGGCTGCGTGGTTACAGGGGGGCCCACGGCTCTGGGTTTGAGCGACACGGCATCCTGTGCCCGGGGAGGCCGTGTTCCGGATTGTCACACACCAGATCACGGGGGCTGAGCACACGGACCCCCGATGAGAATTAAGACACACAAGGTTTGCAGTTTTGTTGTGTTTGGAAATCAGTTTGGCCATAAAAACGAGATTGGTGGGGGCACAGGTGATGCAACTGAACCACCAGAGCAAAGGTGGCCGAGGGTGCTCGTCCTGGGTGGGGACCGAGGGGCTGCGGAGACAGGAAGACGGCAAGGGACCCCCCAACCCCCACCCTGGGGACGGGAGTATTGCACTGAGCCAGGTGGTGGGGGGGCGGGGGCGAGGACAGAGGCTGGCAGGGGACACACGGAAGGGTTCACCTTGTCAGTCTCAGAAAACGCCTTTCGTTTTCACAGTACAGCAACCCAGACGCTACCCAGCTTCTCAGCAGCAGCAGCCACGAGACGAGCCGGGGGCGGGAAATGGGGCATCACCACGAAAGAACTGACAGATTTCTGTCCTGGGGGGATGACAGTTGGGAGGGTCCAGGGCCCTCCCCGCCAGGGGTCTGCGGAAGGCCCCTAGTTCACTACACATCATAAATAAGGTCTTGCCTTCCCGCCCCGCCCCGCCCCGCCCCGGAAAGCAGCAGCAGACGCCCCCGGGCGGCACAGCCCGAGGAGCATCCGTGTAACGGTTTTCTGAAAAGGGATGAAGGATGCAGCCAAGACAAAACACGTCCCCAAAAGGGCCTTCGAGACTTAACACAAAAATAGAAATGTCATGACACCCAGGAGGTTTGCAAAGTTCTCCTGCGAGTCAGTATCCAACTGACACACTTGTTCTCTGATTCGCTCTGGAAAGGCCGAGGTGCCCAGGGGGGACCGGCGGGCCCGACGGCGGCTCCCCTCCCTGCTCCGCAAGCTCCAGGTGGCTGAGGACGCCCTGGACACGGGGCCCACTGCTGTGGCCACCCCCGTGGACGCCCGATGCCCCGGCCCCCGGACTCTGGGGGCCTGGGTGGCGACTCCAATGTCGGCATTTAGGTGACACAGCCGTCCCTGTTAGTCCTCAGGGTCTGAGATGCACCTTCAGAGCTCTGCCCGCTCAGCCCGCCTCCCCCACGGTGGGACAGGGCAGGGATGGACTGGCGACTCGTGGCACATGGCCCGGGCGCCTGCAGACGGCGCTGGTCTGAAATCCAGGCCAGGATGCCCCCTGGGTCTGGACAAACGCTCCTTGGGCAGGATGAGAGAACGTTGGTTTGCTTCTAACCCGGGACTCCTGCAGGCTTGTTTTGATGGGTCCTCCGAGGGTCCCCTGCCCCGGGCTGCGTGCTAGAGTGCTGCCCCCGTGCCGACAGCGAGGGGAGAGCCGCGGGGCGCAGCCTGGATCTCCAGGAGGAGCGCACAGCAGCCAGGCCAACAGGTTCCCTCCGGGCGCAAGGAGCGGGCTATGCGAGCAGAGACGGCAGGAAGGAGCAGTGGGGGACCCAGCTTGCACCAGACTCGAAAAATCAAATTCCCAGATCGGTGACCTCTCCAGCCGTCTCACGCTCCACCAGGGAGGCAAGGGCTGGGAAGAAATTCTTCCAGAAGGTGCGGCTTCCGCTCCGAGCCCGCTCCCAGCTCCTCCCATGCTGGCCGAGCCAGTGGGGGTCTGCAGAGTGGGCGGGGGAACCATCACCCACATGTCACCTCAGGAGTAGGAAGTGCGTCTGCGTGGGGGTGGGAGAGATTCTGCCAAGCTGTCGCCTCCAGCAGCCCCCTCGTGACACAGTGGGGTCCCCTGGCGGCCGCCCCACGGGGCTCTGGGCCCGGAGCACGGCCCCTGCCGAAGATGACAAACCAGAAAAATAAAAAAGGGTTTTCACAAAGAATTTCTCCTATCCTTAAATTGGCATAGGCGTCACCATCGTTTAATAAAGAGAGGACGCCCCCCCGGTCCTGGGTGAGTTCCTCCTGGCGGGGGGCTGTCCCCTCTGGGCCACGTGGCCTGACCACGGCGGGGCCCTGCTCCAGGACACGAGCTCTCCAGAAGCCCCGTGGCCCGAGGGCCAGCTGCCACCTCCATTACTTGGGCCCTGTCTTCTGGACACTGAGTGTCCCTGCTGAGGAGAGAGGAGTCCGCAGTCCTGAGCTCCACCGAGAGGGGGTGGCCATGCGGGCGCCCAGGATCCCTGCTCACGGGTCATCTGGGAGGCGGGGGTGGCGGGAGACAGATGCTGAGCAATGGCAGGGTCGGCAGGTGGAGAGCTGTCCTTAGGCTGCCCGTCGGCTAGCCCCGAGGACGGATGTCTGGCGCCCGGCCGCACGCCTGAGCTGAGCGCACCTGCCGGGCGCGGGTGGCCTGGGAACCAGCGGGACCTGGAGGCCCTTCCCTGCTGGGCGCTCCGTCCACGCTGCAGAGGGGGCCTGCCGGCCGAGGCGTGGCGTGCGGAGATCAGCCGGGCGCCCGGGCCACGGGGCGCAGGCCCCAAAGCCAGCGGCTTGCTCCCTCGGCAAGACGCATGCAAGTTCAGCCAAGACCCAAGACGATGGCGGGGCGGAGCTCTTCTCCGTCCATCCGGCTTTTTTTTTTCCTTTTCCTTTTTATAAAAAAGCACACGTGTGCTGCTGTCTCTGTGCAAAGAGGAAGGACCCGGAATAAATAGGCGACGGGGCGCGGGAGGTTCACAGTATCACAGGTGCGGGGAGCCGCCGGGGCGTCGGAGCACCAGTGGCCATCGAGGGCAGGACGCGGCGGCTCTGGGCCGGGCCGAGCAGGGCGGGCGGTGCCTCCGGGAAGCGGCCAGGGCGGCAGCGGGCGCTCGGCTCCGGGTCGCCAGCTGCGTAGAAGTTACTGCAGGAGACACGAGAGGCGGCTGAGGGCATGGGGGGCCGGGCCGGACCCCCACCCGCCAGGCCGATGCTCGGGCCAGGGACCCCATGTTTCATGAGGGCCAGACAGGCCCCAAGATACTTACCCCGCGGGCCCCCGCGCAGCACGAGCCAGGCCAGAGCTGCAGGCCGGCCTGCCCCTCCCCCCCAGGCCTCAGTTTCCCCGTCTGTCCCTGGGGCGTCGGGGGCCACGCTCTCGGGCCCTCCGTGGCCAAGGCCCCGGCTGGCACACTTACTGTGTCGCTCTCGCCGTCGGAGGCCGGGCGGGCCGGGGCGCTATAGTGGAGCGGGGAGTACACCCAGCTCCTCTCATCGGTGGGCTGGAGGGCGGGCGGGCGCGCGTGCAGGAGGGGCGCAGAGAAGAGCAGCGTGCGAGGAGGCGACAGGCCAGAGGGAGAAGGAAGAAACAGAAATAAAAGAGGCAGACCCACGCGGGACAATGGGCAGTGGGCGGCGGCTCAGCCCCGGCCGCCCCTCCCTGACTGGGGACCTGCCCCAACCCAGGCGCTGGGGCTCGGCGGGCGGGACCGGGCCTGGGGCTGAGTGGCCGGAGCAGGCGGGTGGCAGCAGGAAGCGTTAGTCACAGCAGGGGCACAGCAGGAGCGGGAGGAAGGGGGGGCTGCTTTTCTCTGCTGTCCTCTCCCCGCCTCCCTCTCCGCCCTCCAGGGACCACCCCCCCAACCTCCGCCCTAGCCCGGCAGCACCCCAGCCGCGGATCTGATCTGTCACGTGGGCACTGGGGCCGCCAGCTGGGGCATGACTCTGGGGACCGTCCCCTGGGGGTCCTGGGCGGTGGGCAATGGAGCCCCTTTCCTGATGGCCCAGGAGCCTTTCAGGATTCAGTCTGCAGACTTGCTCAGGGGAGACCGAGGCACGGGCCGCCCAGGGAGCAAGCAGCAGAGGCCTCCCCGCTCCCTCCAAGGGCCCAGGGGACGCCTTCCTGGGGAGTGGGCGCACCGGGGACCAAGTCCGGGTGTGGGAGAGACAGAGCCTGGTGTGGCCGCCTAGAGGCTGCCCTGGGCCTCGCCGGGGGGCAGGCTGGTCCGCCTCTAGCTGTGTCTGGGGATGCGACGCCCAGCCCGGGTCAGACTCGGCGGAGGAGGCTCATTCCTCCAGCCCCATCCCGTCCCTCCCGGCTCTACTCCCACCTCGAGAACCCTCCCGGGCCCTGGCGCCTTCCTCGGGGCTCCCCCAGCCGCCTTCTCCTCCTCCTCCTCCCTCCTAGGGGATCCCTCCAGCCCTTGGCCTGGGGACCTCTACCCCGGCCAGCTCTGCTTGGAGAGGGGCCCGAGCACGCACCTGCCCTGACCAGATCCCCAAGTGGCCCGGGGCCCCTAAACCCACCATGCCCCCCAGCCTGCTCCTCCTCTGTCCGGTCACGACCGCCAGCCTGGCCTCTGCAGGGCTGGTGCCTTCACAGCCTCGAGAAGGACGAGCACCCGCTGGCCTCTGCGCTCTCCAGTGACCAGACCCTGCCCTCCGCTCCCGCTGCCTCTCGCCTTGGGCTCCCTGTGCCCGCTGCACCCAACCCTGCCCATGGCTCTCACCACGACCCCAGCCCCCGCAGGCCCCCAGGACCACTGGGCACCCAGCCCAGGGCCACACACCCTGAGATGACCGTGCCCATCTGCCGACAGACGCGCACAAAGGTGCCGTGGGCAGCAGGACGAGACCCCCTCGTTCCTCCAGACGGTCCCAGGGCAGTAAAGACCCCCGACCACAGGCGGCGGCTCCGTTGGCCTTCCCGCCCGCGGGGAGCCTGGGAGGGCAGGGCCGGGCTGTCACAGGGCAGCCCCAGCAGCTGCTCCACGCTGGGCTAGCTGTCCCCCGGGGCTCAGAACAAGGGATGGTAGGAGGCCCCCACCCAAACCCTGTGAGAGCAGGGCCTCGGGTGGGGGAGGGACCCAGACCCCACGGTGACTGAAGCCGGGCCACGGGCTCGCCCTGCCCGCTCTGCAGGCCTCAGGGTCTGGCCTTCGGTCCCGCTGCCCCCTCCTCCCAGCCGCCGCCAGGCTCCCGCATCTGCTGTGCCCCCCGCCCAGATCACGCTCTCCTCTCCCGCCTCCCACGCCCACAGTGGTTCTTGAAGTCCCATCAGCCCCTCTCCAGGCAGCCTGTGCAAACTGCTCCCCGCCCTCCACGGCCCTTGGGGGCTGCCGTGTGTCCCCGGCCCTGCATCATCTCTGGGGTGTGGTGTCCCCGTCTCGGCTGGATGGAGTGTGGAGGAGGGGCTGGGCGGTGGTCTCCACTTCTTGGGGTGCTCCGCAGCGCCTGACACACAGACGCCCAAAGGGGTTTGCTGATGGGACCAGGGGTGCAAGCCTCTGAGGGGCTTCATCTTGAGAACAGACTCGCTTCCGGCCTTCACCCTGTTCTGCCTGTTCCCATGCCGTGTGGCTCTGGGCAGGTGGCTTGGCCTCTCTGGGCCGCTCATTTATTGCTCATGATGACACTAAGAAGCAGTGACAATGCCATCGCTACACGCTATCCACATAGCGTCCCAAGCACACCGGGTGGACGAGCGTCCCCTAGACACAGTGCTCCTTGGGAGTTCGGGACCCAGACTTTGTCTAAACTATGCACTCTCAGGAGCTCCCTGGGGAGCCAAGGCCTCGGTTTCTCCATCCATGAAATGGGCATGGAGAGACCAGCCCCATCTCCTGCCGGGAGGGGCCCAGCTTTCAGCCCCTCGCTGACCCGCGTGACTAACCCTGTCAGCGGGGCAGAGGCCCTCGAGGAGCCATCGGCAGCGAGGTCTGAATGCGTGAGTAGTGTCCTTCTGACACGTCCCCAACTCGGGAGGGCTGGGTGAGGGGCGGAGGTGGCCAGGGTCTGGGGGTCAGATGCGACCCCACCACGGCCGGGTCCAGCTCCGAGCCCCGGCCGTGCGCCCGCAGGCCTGGTGATGCCCGCCTCGGAGGGGACTAAGTGACATCACCGCGGACGCGCACACAGCGCCCCACACAGCCGCCCTCCGCCGCAGAGACTGTTCTCCCCGAGGCCCTTCTCAGAGGGAGAGGGCCGGCCCGGACCCGTGCTCCCCGCTGCCCGGGGCGGGGCTGGGCTCCCTGGGGGCCTGCTGCGGTCACTTACAGTCCCCGAGGAGCTCAGCGTCACGGCCCGCAGACGGCGATGCCGGGGAGAGTAAATCCAGTACCTCCCGTCCGTGAACTGGGCGGGCGGGCGGGCGGGGAGGAAGCAAACAGAGCAGAGGATGAGGCGGCGGGAAGGGCGGGCGTCAGGCGGGAGGGCGCTGGGCGGGGCAGCGGGCCAAGCAGGAGGTGGGTCGGGGGTGGCGGGGTCCCACTGTGGCCCGCTGCCTCCTCTGCTGTGGGGCCCCGACGCACACGACAGGGCACGGCCCCCCGGCCCCTCACACAGATCCAGAGAATGGGGCACAACCAAGCCCCCGGGGACGGGGAGTCGACGGCGGGTGGGGGATGCTCACGCGGTGCCCCCGGTTCCTCTCTAGGCCAGGCGGGGGCCCCGCGACCCGGCAGCACAGAGAGCAGGTGGTGTTAGTCACGGAGCAGCGATGGCAGCGGGGGGGCCCGGCCCGGCTCACCTGCCCCGGGGGGCAGAGACTAGAACGAGGTCTGGGAAGAGGACGGGCAGCTGGGCTGCAGTGTCTGGCCCTCTCTGTGCAAGCGGGACCATCCGAGGGGGTCCCCCGGGAGGCGCCCAGGACCCACTGTCGGGGGCCACTGGACAGGACTCAGTGGGCTCTCTGATGGCCCAGCACCCGCCTCACCCAGGCTCCTGGCTTATCTGACCTGCCTGTGGGAGATGTGAGGGGCGGGGAGGCAGCCCCCCGCTCGGGAGGGCTGTCCCGGGTCCCTGGCGCAGGCCCCTCCTGCTCTGACAGACCCCACCTCGTCCAGAAGCAGCCGCGTGTCCTCGGCCCGTGAGGAGGGCAGCGTGACGCCAACCTGCCTCTCAGTGCAGACCCTGTGCCCCCTCGAGGACAGAGCCCACTAGGCTGCACCCACCACCCAGTGGGGGAAGAGCCACGTCATTTCCAGCCCACCTCGGCCAGCCCCGGGCTGCCCACCAACCCAGGGACTGGGCCTCCCCTCGGGGCTGCAAGCCTGAGGACTCCAGGGGCCTCCCAGGGAGCCACGGGGGCCCGGCTGCAGCCAGGGCCTTGGCTCTTGGCCAGGCGGTGGCCACAAGGTCTGGGAAGAGAGAACATGGCCGTTCTGGGGCCTTGGAATGGCCTGGCCTGGACGGCGCGGGGCAGGGCCCTCCTACGTGAGTGTGAGCGTGTGCACGTGACTGTGTGTGCACATGGGTGTGATTGTGCGAGAGCACACTGTGAGCATGCCAGTGGCCGTGCAAGAGAATGTGGATATCACTGTGGACAGGTGAGCACGTGTGCCTGACTCTGCCAGTGTGAGTACACGTGAGTGCCTTGTGTGAGCCTGTGAGTGTGATGTGTCAGTGTGTGCGCGCACTGGTATAAGCACACATGTGCATGCGTGATCATGTACTGCATGTGCGACACGTCAGTGTATGTGAGTGTGAGTGCGTGCACGTGTGAGCGTGTGTGGTTGAGGGCCCGGCAACGGGAGGGCTCCGGGGGACTTACGAAGTAGATGTCCGTGGCGGGCGCATCCTCCTCGTCTGAGGCCTGGCTGGCGGGCTCCGAGGCCTGGCTGGCGGTTTCCGCTTCGACGGCGGCAGAGGCGCAGGCCGGGGAGGCCTCCACCCTGGGGACACGGCAGGACATGGGAGGCCTGGGGCAGGGCTCGGGACAGCCCCCACCTTCCCCAGCCCACGCCGGGACCCTCCCTCCTCGTGTGGACACAAGACAGAAAGCGGGGCCACGGTGGTGTATTCTCACACGTTCCCATCCACGCACAAGGCGAGCAGAACTCCCCAGATGCTGCCGTGACCCAGGGCCCGACATGCCCACCTGCTACCAGGTGAGGCTCTGCCCCCTCCCCCGGCTCAGGCGCACACACCCGCGGGCAGATCCTGCCTCACCACTCACGCACTGTGCAACCCTGGAGATCAAGTTCCTTCTCTGAGCCTCAGTTTCCCCATCTGTAGAGCGGGGACACACAGCACCCACCCCCGTGTCCTGTTCCTCGAGCACTCACTGCGTGTGGCCTGTTCAAGAGCCTTACATGAATTAACCCGCTCAGTCTCCATCGGGGAGGGGACAGGCCACTGCCGTCCCGTGCGAGAGATGAGGAAACTGAGGCTCAGAGAGGTGAGGAACGTGCCTGAGGCCTCGGCTGGCGGCGACGTGCGTGACTGGTGCGTAATCTTCATCTCATGAATAAGAGGATAAGCCCTGAGGTGACAGAGCACCTCTGACTGTGCAGGACTTGTTCTCCAGTCACGTGTGAGGTCAGCTTGTTTTTCGGGCAAAGACTGAATGACATTTTACACTGCAAGACTTCAGTCAAGGGCCCAAGAGCTGACAGTGGCAGAAACTGGTGTATGTGTGCACGAGCGTGTGTGGTGTGTGTGTGCAGGTGAGTGTGTAAAATGAACTCTGGGAAGGTGTGCTGTGAGGGCTAAGTAAGGTCTCTTGAAATAGAACAGAAATTCTAAAACGTATATAAAGCAAAAACGATGAGAAGGACGAGAAGAATGTGATAACAATGCAATTACACAGTTAAACAGACCAAACACGGGAAATGAGTGAGGACATGAAGGAAGGGAATGACACCAGGCAGTTCGTTGGACAGAACAGGCTTATAGAGAACTTTCTGTCCCTCAACAGAGAATGCACATTTCTCCATATGTCCATGGGCATTTAAAAAAACAGATTCGGTATTTGACCACAAAGACGTTAATCTTTAAAAAAAAAGCATACATATTTTTACATCACTTTCTTCAACTCAAAACCTAATAAAATTAAAAGTAAGCGTACTAAAAAGGTAAAGAAAAAAATCCTTAAAAACTCAGAAGTTGAGAGACACTCCTAAATAAGCCTTAGTCCAGAGTCTCCCCTCACCACTGTAGATAGACAGTGGGGTGTCATGGGCACAGTGGGGGGTCGAACAGCATCCCTGGACCCCACCCACTCGATGCCAGGAGCACCCCCAGTGTGACACCACAGATGTCCCCAGACATGGCCCAGTGTCCCCTGGGGGGGGGGGTGCAGAGTCGCCCCCAGGTGGTTGAGAACCACCACCTTAGATCAAAAGGGAAATAAAAAGAAATCACTAAGTACCCACACGTGAGCCAGCGTAAAACTGCTTCACGTCAAGACCCAGGGGGCAGCAAACACAGCACTCAGAGGAAAATGCGTAGCCTTAAATGCCTCATTATTAAAGGAAAAAAGGCGGGGAGGACCTTAGGCACTCAACCTCCACTGGAAAAAAGGAAACAAGTGAGAAAACAAAGCAGAAGGAGCTAGAAAGAAACAATTACTGGCGAGTTTCAGCGAATGAAATGAAAACAAAACACAACAGGAGGCGGCGGACCAGGGCCACAAGCGGGTCTTTGCCAAAACTGGTCATGACGTCACCCTCTTGCGAGCCAGGCGAGGCCAAGAGGGGATGGAGAGGGAAGGTGAGCACAGATCACGGACCACCGGAGGTCCTACGACTGCCCCTGGAGCCTCCCCGAGCACAGGGACCTCCGTCTTTCTGACACCCCGACATGTGAACACCTCACATCAGAAGCCTGGAATCCTAGCCCACGGCTCCCAGATGCAGACTACATTTCCCAGCCTGCCTTGCTGCCAGCTGGCCACGTGACCGGGCTCAGCCAATGAGGTCTGAGCAGAGATCGCACACAGGAACTGGCCACGGGACAACAGGACTGGGGGGCACTCACCCCGTGTCCTCCTCCTTGGGGACCACGATCTCCACGCTGCACGCGGGCTCCACCTGCACCGTTATCTGCTGCAGGTCCTCCTCCGCCGGCGCCTCCTCCTGGGGCCTACAAGCAACAGGAAGCCGCACCTCAGTTTCCCTCCCCACGCCCCCTCCGCCCCTGGAGCGCCGCCCAGCTCCCATGTCCAGTCCCGGAGGGAAGCTGGGTGCCTCCACCCGACCTGCGCCCTGTGCTGGCCCGGCGCGGCCTGTCCCTCTGGCTGCCATGCCCGCCTGGGGCTGCGAGGGCACAGCCACTGAGCGTCCACCTGTGGCTCTGACCCCGGTAGGGGCATAACCAGTGACCGCGGCCTGGATCCTGCCCGCTCTCCCGCGGCCCACACTAGGGGCTGGGGGGGATCTGATGGAGGCAGGCCGGAACCTTCTGGCAGCCTGGCATGCAGTGTCTCTGGACTGCAACACAGGCCAGGAGAGAGGTCGCTGCCTGAGCAGGTGCTGGACAGACGGAGACGCACTTTCCACCAGGTGCGCTTCGTGCCACGACTTGCTTCCAAGCGGCAGGAACTATCCCCCGGAAACTAATGAGGGAAAGCGACCCCTGTTCACAGCAGGCAGTCACGTCACTGATCAAACAGCCGGGGACAACCCAGTGTCCCCGAGGGCAGCCGTGAGATGGGAGAGAGCCAGCAAGCGCTCCACCCGCTCGCACAGACCGTCCGCATCTGTGAGCGGCAGTGTGAGGGCAGGGAGACGCAGAGACAGCGCCACCGCTGTGTCAAAACCACAGGCCCCCACGGACGTCTGCTCCTCTGTTCACAACACGTCTCTGCAGAGAGAAAAACCCACCCGGGGTTGCTCCCGAGCGGGGAACCGTGTGGGGCAGGGGAGGCATTTCACTATATTCCCTTTGCAACTCTTAGACTAAAAAGAAAGAAAAGAGGGTCAACAGGCAGGTGTGGGGAGGGGTCCTCTGTGCCCCCAGGTGGCAGAGAAACAAGGGACTCTGGGCGGTTCTGGAGCCTGACTGCGCCCAGGAAGGAGGGGTCAGAGAGCAAGGGCTCTGGGTGGGACAGCAGAGGGGGCTGTGCGGGCCGGCTGGGGTGTCTGCTCACCGGCCGTCCTGTCCCGAGGACTGCGTGCGCCGCCTGCAGAGAGACCCGACAGGAGCAGGGGTGAGGGAGGCCCCGCCCCCGCACCCCCCCCCCCCGCCCCACTCCCGGGATGCACACAGAGGGCGCCCCGTCCATCCGTCCACCCGCGCACCTGTACCTCGGCTGCTCCGACGTCTCCGAGGGGGACCGCTCGGGGATGGAGAGGGACGTGGACGACAGGGTCGTGGCGATGGAGGCGGTGGTGGCCTCCTCAAAAGAAGGCGGCGTGCAGGGCAGGAGGTCGGGCCGGCCTGAGGGGAGGAGGCGGTGGGCTCCCCCTGCAGAGGGCTCTCCCTCTGCCACCCACGCCCCGGCTCCCACCTGCCACCCGACACTCCGTTCTCCCCAGCGGCTTTAAGAGGGGCTTCCAGTAGCTTCCCACTGCTCCCAAACTAAAATCCAAACCCCTCCCTATGGCCTACAGGGCCCCTCCCGACCTGCCCTGTCCCCTCCTCCCTCTGCTCCAGCCACATGGGCCTACTGTTCCTCCAACACAACAGGCCTGGTCCTGCCCCACGGCCTTTGCACAGGCTGTTTCTCCCTTCCTTGCTGGTATTCCCCCGCCCCCTCCCTGTCTGCAGTCTGTGACCCCAGGAGCTGGGAGGGACCTTCCAGAACATCAGGCCCAACCCCATCAAGCGCTTCTCTCTCTGGGTCTCTGCACACCTGTGGTGACGTAACGAGCTGTCACCTCCCTGGGTGGCGCCTTCTATGCTCAGCTCTCCCTGCCCTCTTCCCGGGGCCCAGTCCCAGCTGCTCCCCATCCCACTCCGGGGTGGCTGCAGCTCTCGGACTGGGGGGCTGACTGTACCCTTCCTGGCACGGGGCTGCCGCTGTTGCTCCCCGCGGCCTCCCTCCTCAGCCCCCAGGACGGCGCCTTCCCCCTGCCCCCTTCCCCCATCACGATGCTCCCAGTCGCGGCTGCCCGCTCACCTCCGTCCTCCAGCGTGGGGTAGCTGTGGGCCCCCCGCAGGTCATACTGTGCGTCCTCCCGCTCGCTGGGGATCTGGCTGGCCGAGAAGGCGGCCGTGGGCCCCAGGGGCTTGACGGCCAGCAAGGCACCACGGCCCTTCTTGGACGGCGACGACTTCAGGGCTGCGGAGGAGGGCGGTTGCCGTGTGGGTGGCGCGGCAACACCCAGCAGGGCCCACCGGCCCGGTTGCCCCTCTGCACAAAGGCCTAGTCCACGCCCACGAGGCGAGGCCCACACCCGCGGCCCTGCCTCCACTGCCCCTCAGCCCGGACAAGACGCGACGCTCAGCTCTCGGTGGACACAGCCCTGCCCTGCTTCCCACCTGGCTCGGCCTCGGGGGACACCGGCGTCCTGCCCACCGACGGATATGGAGCAGCCCCGGGGACCCAGCACCCCCACCTAGGCCCCCCTGAAACAGCAGCAGCAGCCACCACCACCATTTACTGAGCGCTTTAGAGCCTCATCCCCTTTGTCGCAGCCGCCCCGCCGTGGCCCCCACTTTCAGACAAGGCAACGGAGGCCTTGGGGGGTGCAGGCTCAGCACCCAGGGCCTGGCTCCCATCCAGGCTGCATGGCCTGGGGAACGGGCTCAGCCTCTCTGGGCCCTGGCGGCGGCGGTGGCCAGAACAGGGTCCGGCGAGGCAGGTGAACCCCAGACCCTCCTCACCAGGCCCGGCCCCGTGCTCTCCCGCTCTGTGAACTCTGCCCCCAGGAGGGCCTGCACAGCTCCCGGCACGCAGTAGGCACTCAGTTTGCCTTGTGCACAGCCATGTGGTCCCCGGATGCCGGCACACTCCCCTGACCTCAGTGGGAACGACACCCAGAGAAGGTTCCAGGAAGGAGTGTGCTGGCAAAGGTTAACAACCAGCTCTCCAGAGACACACGCTGGATTTGCTGAGTTTGCCGATTTCCATGGGGTGAATATTCCCACCAGGTCGGTCTAGCTACTGGCGGGGCGTCACGGAGGGTGGAGTGGCATTGGCATTATGAGCCGGCTCCGGGGGAGCCCATGGGTTGTGAGGCCCGGAGAGTATGGCACACACCAAGGCCATCACTGCGCCCACAGACACTTAGTGAGCACCCACTGTGTGCGGGCCCCGGGCTGGATGCTGAGAACACAGAGTGACGAGGCCAATAAGCACCCTGCCTTTTAGGGGCAGGGAGGACAGACGCAGACACATGGGGACAAAGACTCTTCAGGCAGCACTGGGATCACGGCCCAGGTGTGCACCAGGGTCCAGGACTTGAGCCAAGCACAGACACGGGGCCCCCGAGGCCGCCCATGGGGCAGGGCCGACACTGTTCGCCCTGTGCCCTTCCTGACGACGCCTAGCCGCCTCGGTGCCCACCAAGGCCGTGCTTCCTTGGCGATGGCGAGAGGCTGTGGGCAGCCCCACTGAGCGCCGTGCTAGGCCAGGGCCCCCTGCCGAGCGTGAACACATCCCACCCTCACAGCTCTGTGCAGAAGGGGAAACTGAGGCACGGAGAGGGGCGTCACTGGCTCGAGGTCACAGAGCCAGGACTCAATTCAGACACCGGGTGCCAGGCCCCGTGCTGTGCCAGTGGGGTGGCCGCCTTGACCACCCTGTTCTCTGGACAGAGGCCTGAGGTGGCCAAGAAGCAGGGCGGGGAGCCCCGGATTTACCCCGCTCTCGGCTGCCCACCCCACACTCCCCGAGTCCCTCCCACCCAAAGGCCCGGGCAACTCACAGGAGTTCTTCCGGAAGACTGTGTTGCTCATGAACTTGAAGAAGCGCTCGGCGTAGAAGCTGGGCCGGTGGACGGAGACCGTGTCCTGGGAAGAGAAGTGGGGCCGGGGCAAGAAGGTGCGTGAGCCTGTCGCCCCCCCAGGAGCCCCCATGCCCCGCAGGGAGCCCAGGACACGCCGCTGCAGGAGGGGCTACCTCCTGTGTGGAGGGGGAGATGGGTCCCCGGCATGGGGCTTCCCGGAGGGGGCCCAGAGATCAGAGACAGCGACAGGGAGTGGATGGGAGGGAGATTTTTTCATTATAAACCCATCCGCATTTTCAATTTTTTGGATCATGTGAAAGAAAAGCTATTCAAAGAAGTGAACACGTAAATATCAAAAGAAAGAAACCAGAGAAATTCTCTGAAGCAGCAGTCAGCATAGCACGGCCGCCCTCTGCTCTGAGTGGTTTTATTGGCCCTTGGCCGTGCGCATCCCCAGGGCAGAGCTGAGCAGCTGTGGCAAACGGAAGCTGGTGTTCCTGGGGCCACGCAGACCGACTGTCCCAGCACCCACCCTCAGGGTGGCCCTGGGCAGCACACTGCCCCTCTCCGAGCTTCTGTCCCTTATTTGTGCCACAGGGAGACAGGAGATGGCTACGCTCACAGGATACAAGGACAGGATTTACGTAAGGCAGGAACCCAGCACACAGTCGGTGCTCACTAAATGCTGGGCCCCTAAGGTAGACACTCCTTGCGGTTCCCCAGGATGCAGTCTCCTCACTTTTTTTTTTTTTTTTTTTTTTGTGAGGAAGATCAGTCCTGAGCTAACATCCATGCTAATCCTCCTCTTTTTGCTGAGGAAGACCGGCTCTGAGCTAACATCTATTGCCAATCCTC